AATTTTTTAAATGAAAATCTTATGCCGAAAATCTCAATTTAAATTTTTCTCATTGCCATAATTTTAGAAGAAAAAAAATTGCTATAAAATAAATTTTATTAGTAACTTTATTTTTAAAAAAAATGATGAATCATAATAAAAATGCCTAAAAAAGAAAAACAGAAAAAAAACAAATTTTTCTTAGTTCCAGAAACAAAAAGTAAATACTGAAAATCACACTTTTCTATGTTACTGGTTATTTATATTACAGTATAGGGAAAGAGTGATAATAAATTAATTGTATGAGACGATCTGTTAAAATGCTGGGTTATAATAAAAACAGCAAAAAATGGGAAAAAATCCTTCTCAATTCTCAAAGTATCGAAAAAATGANCGTGGCGGACAGCTGGCCGCCTTTAGCGGCTAGTAAATTAATAGTATGAGACGTTCTGTTAAAATGCTAGATATAATAAAAACAGCAAAAAATGTTAAAAAAATCCTTCTCAATTCTCAAAGTATCAAAAAAATGACAAAATTAACTTGTCTGATTATAACTTTAAAAAAAAAAAAGTAATATCTATAAAAATTCAAAAATAACAAAAACTTAGAAAAATACATTTCTAAAAAATATTCTGCCGAATATTTGACTGATCATTCAACCAACTGAATTTTTCACAGAAGGTCCAAATACTTGTTACATTCCTAATTTAAATGCAATGTTATTGCAACTTGAGAAATTCAAAAAATGGCGGAAAACGTGCTTAGACAAACTATACACTATTAAAATACATTAATAACACCTGCTTATGGCAAAAACTGTGCTGTTTGACCATAAAGCAGTTTTTTAAAATTTTATTCAAATCTTATTTCTCCGACTATTTGAAAAATTTATAATCAAACTTTTAATCGTTTATAAAACTTCTTTTTGTTTCTCAAGATCATTAAAGTAGTAGAGAAAAAAATAATATTTAAAGCTAATGTTAAGATTTTTAAATTACTATCCAACTACCATAAAATTTAAAAAAATTTTTTTCCTTTGACAATAAGCAATATTTAAGAACAGTGCAATATTTGTTTTTCTTCTGACAACTTCAATAAACTTGTCTTCTAGAAGTTCAGAAAAATTTGACATCGTAATAAAATTTTACAAAAGCTTTTGCACATGAAAAAAATCATTTATTATTATTAATGGGATATTATATTCCCTTGCTGAACTGGGGTTTGAAACTTATGAGTATTTCTAATTTTTAGTAGTATTTAATTAAATTTAGGAATAATTTCATAACTACCTACATAAAAAATTTCAAAACTACCTTTCTACATAATTTATGAACGTGCATAAATAGATTTTGAAAAGCACAAAAAATACTAACTTGGAATCAGGAGCGTATGCAAGTATGAAGGTTGCTCCACAAACTAGAATGGTCAACATTCCAAAATTTGTCAATTTGTGCAAATGACGATCATTTTCATAATTTATTTCATCATAACCATATGAAACCCAACTCTGAAAGGAAAAAATTATTATTAATAACAACTAAAATCTAATTGGAAAAAAACTTATACTTCAACAAACGACAAAATTAATGCATATTTTCCAAATTTGTTGCAAACCTACATAAGATTTGAAAATAATCCCGTATCGGTATCTGCTTGCTCTAACAACAGTTACCAAGACTACAAAAAGGTTTTAAGGATGCTTTTTTTTCTTCAAATTTCTCGCGGGCTACTGATTAAAGGCACGGTAATCAACACAACTTAGCTATTATTTTAGCACAGGCAACAACACGGAAATCTTCTCCGAGATTTAAAAGAAGATAGAACTCTTCTGCCTAAAATATTTACAATTAAATATGAATTCAAAACTACTTATGTATAGTATAGTCGAATAAAAATACAAATTGATAAAACATCTTTACATTAGTTTTATGATACATAATATAATATATTTAAATGTAAATTTATCAACTAGAATTTTGAAAAACGAAGAATATTAAAAGAAACAGAGAGAACCTTTGGATTTTTAGTTTCGGCGAATTCTTCGACTGTTTTTGGAGGAGCTGGAGGCTTTTTAGGAAACAAATCTTCAGGATATGCTAAAGTATCTTTGGACTTTTTAGAAGTAGATATTGATGCAACTTGACAGCGTAAACATCTTCCTAAATTTCTTCTTAAAGTAGGATTTGCGTATTTCAATAACGAGACAGACATGTTTGTTTAGAAAAGTTTTGACCTCCACTTCAATTTGGTGAGGTGAGATGTTTAAAATATACTGATTGTTTATTTATTTATTTTATTCATTAAATTTTCAATCTAAATTAAGTGAATATTGCTTAAATAAAATTAAAAAATATCTGAAAAACTATTAAATTGTTTAATTTTTTTCTTAAATATTTTATTAAAAAAGCTAAAGATTCTCTAATTTCATTATACGAAAATTGTTTATTTTAAACAGCCGACACGGATCATCTCAATCGAGTAGAATGTGCAAATTTTACATAAGCTACACTTACTTTACGAACGGCACTGAGTCTTCGACTCAAACGATTTAAACTTTTTAAAGTTTCCCTACTGTGCTAGAATAAATTTTTAAGTAAAATAATTTGGCATTGCTAATGGTTTTGACAACAAAAGTGTAAACAAAAAATGTCTGCTGATATGTGGTTTAGTTATTAATTGACGTATCACAATTAAATTAAAATTACTGAGTAATTTAGTTTTTTTTCTTAATCAATAGAATCATTTAGTTTTGTTTATGTCTGTCAAAGCTTCAACATTTTTAACCTTAAATATATTGCATTGTGTTGTCTTTCAGATGCCTTGTTGAGAATAAAAGATTATTGTACTGTTTTCTAATTTAAGTTATACATGAAAAAATGCAGTAACCTCGCTATGAATGATATTACCAGTAAAAGTAACTTAAAACTAAACTAACATCAATTAAAGTGAATTGTCACCGGACTTCCATTTGATTTTGCGTGTTCTCTTCTGTGGGCTTTAGCAAAAATCGTGATGTTTTAAAAATAAAATCATAAAATTTGTGATCTTAATTGAATTTTTTTATTCAAATCAGAGTTTTTAATTTTTTTACATGTACTAATCAAAGCTCTGATAAAATGTATTAATGCTTAATACTATTTAAAAACAATATCATTATTTCTAATGATCACAAACTAATCACTTGATTATTAAGACTTAATTTATCATTTAGATATCAAATGAAGAACAAATTAATAGGAAAGAAAAGTATTCTAAATTACTCTTCACAGAACAAAAGTGTTTTAATTATTTAAGTAGATGAACTGAATGTTTATTAGGGTTTAACATATTCTTTTACATGCAGGTAATTGGAAGCAATAATTTTAAATGTTCCACATCATTTTAATTCTAAATTTTATTTTTTTAGTCTATTGCGCACATTTAATAATTTACATCCATTACCCTCTAAAATCATTCGCTAATAATGAAATAAAAAATCAATAATTTTTTTTATTTAATTAAGGGATTTAACACTTTACAACTGCCTGTGGAAATTCAATCATTCTTATTATTTTACATTTTTATTAAAACTTCATTCATTTAAATTGTGCAATTTAATATTTTTATTTTAATGTCTATTACCCCATTTAAAACTTTCTAACTTGAAGAGGAATTGTACACATATTCTAAATCTAGTCTTTTCTTATGAAAATTGTTTGAAATTTGCTTACATTTATGTATATGTACATAGAGTGTAAATAGTACATCATTTTAGTAGGACATCTATGTTTTTTTTCTTCAATTATTGAATATCATCTATAAGTAAAATAAATAAGAAATGTAAGTCTTAGTTCACTCAAATTTTTTTTTTNTTTTTTTTTTTTTTAATCAGAATGTGAGAGAGTAGATAAGAATATGACACTTCTTACAAAAAAAAATTTTTTTTTTTTAATTTTATTACTACTTTTATTATATATCTAGGAATAATATCTTGAATCAGTTTAATATACTTTCAACGTATAAAGATTTGAATCAAACTTGAAACAATTTTATAAGTATTGAATNAAAAAAATTTTTTTTTTTTTTAAATTCTATTACTACTTTTATTATATATCTAGGAATAATATCTTGAATCAGTTTAATATACTTTCAACGTATAAAGATTTGAATCAAACTTGAAACAATTTTATAAGTATTGAATTTTATAAATTAATTTAAAAAAAGTGATATAGTGTTCTAATGCTCAATGTACAAGAGAGAAAGGGGGAGACACACCATGTTTTTAAAAGTTAAAATTCATACATAATTTCCAAAAAAATATTCTTAAAAAAACTACAGTATTTTTTTTCTGTACTTTTATTCTTTTATGCCATCATGAAGTTAAGATCGTTCCAATCATTTTTGCTATATAACATTTATTTAACACTTTAATGGTTTATTTAAAAGCAAACAGTTAGTCAATAATTTATTTAAAATTGTATTTCTTTTTAAAGAAAAGAAATTACATAAGCATTTAAAATTACTTCTCAATAAAATTGATACCATGAATCTTTTAGATTCTATTGAATCATAATATATATTTTTTTGTAGTCTTAATGATCAATTAACAAATAATTTAAGCAAGATGACTCTTAATAATGTAGACAAAGTCACCACAGTTTTACCCTACTATAGATATAAAAGACGTATAGTAAAACTGTAACTAGTGACAGTGTAGAAGTATCAATATTATCCAAATATAAAGCAAGTCAAACATGCAGTCTATGGGCCAAATTAGGCAGTTGAATTTAATTAGTTCACTGCAGTTCACAAAACTCAAATAAACTTATAAAGGATGTTTAGAAATTTATTAAATATTAAAGCTATTGATATTAAATTTATCATTTTGTAATAATATAAATTGAATTTTAGTATCAATACTTTGTTTCACTAATAAGTCTCTATACTTTTCTTTTGAAACTTTTTGTGTGGCGTATCAATACAATGTCATTAATATTGGCAGACTATAAATTTTTTTATTCATTTAAAATATAATTTTAATAGCTATAATGTTACAAGATATAATATTAAATTTTGTTAACAGATTACGTTTTCTACTGTATTCTGTTCTTCTTTCTTTTTTTTTCATAACTACATATTTCTATTATCAGCAAAAATGTGTCAGATTTGTACAGAATAATATTACATGTACTTGAAAAAGAATTTATTATTACTTCTACCAGCTTATCATTTTTTCACAATAAGTTGACCAAATATATAGGCTGTTATTGTTGCTAGAAATTTTAACCTTTTAATTGTCTACCATTTGGGCAAGTTTGTTTAAAAATTGTTATTTAGTGTTGTCACATAAAATACTACATGGCAAATATCTGATTTCCTGTACAGAAAAACAAACAAGTCTTATTTTGAATTCAGTTCTTAGCTGACAAAGCTTTTATTAGATCCTTGCTAGGATGATATTAAGAAAAAAAACCCTTTTTTTTAATAATTATAACAATTTAAATTTTTTTCAAAAGCCTTATTTTCTATTTTGTCATGAAGATTTAATAGAATAGGCAGTAGTTCTCCATGCATCTTTAAGTGCCCTGCACTAATCAAAATTATCGATTTAAAAAATATTTACACCTTTGGATCATTATTTAAGTGGAACCATTAAAAAAATGCAAAATAACTGCACTTAAAAGGCCTAATGTTGTGTGCAGAGATTGGCAAATCCCAAACACCAGGTCAAGCAGACTACTAACTTCATTAATTTTTCTAAACAAAAAAACTTCACATAAATCAAAATTATGGATTTTAAAAATATTAAAATTTTTTGATCATTATTTAAGTGGAACTATTAAAAAAAATACAAAATTGCTCCAATCAAAAAGCAACATTACGTGTAGGAGAAGATAAATCCCAGGAGGTGCCAAATCGAGCTGACAATTAACATTTTTTTCTACTACTTATATTTGAACTATATAAGTAGAAGGATTCATTAGGAAAAAAAATTCGAAATTGATAAGTTTTTTACCAGAAAATTGTATTAATGTATCATATTTTAATACTAAAACTCTAATGAAATGTTTATCTATTCAATAATATATATTAGTTTTAAAGGAAAAATATTACTTTACCTTCTGTTTTAGTGTTTTTTTCATATATTTTTTTCATTAAATTTTAGTTATAATTTAAAAGAAATATTTTCTTAAAAATAATAGTGTATTGAAACTATATTCACTATAACTATATAAAACTACTGAACATATAAAACACTGAAACTATATATTATTATTATAGTCAATTTTTAATTTAATATTTGACAAGTATGTTTATGAAAAGCTATTTTTATTTTGTAGTAAATGTGTTTAAGTCACAATAATTCTAGAATTCAATTCCTAAAAACTTTCCCTGGATCCTAAGATTTTACATCTTTTGTCAGTCTTTGGTTATGTGTGCAATATATAAAAATTATTATTAGTATAAAATTTGAAGAAAGAAAAAATGTTAAGATGTTGGTGTTTAAGAATGAAATAAGAAATGAAATTATATTTATTTCAAAATACACTAGTACTTCGATCTATTATTTCTTATGGAACCATTGTAAACGATAGATGCGAGAAAATGGTCAACATAAAGTATTAAAAAATTATTTGAAAATGTACAAAGAGTGAAGGATTTAAAAATTAATAAATTTATAATTTGTTACAAACAAAACATAAGTTATTTTGCCTATGTTTGCCTTTTCTCCCTTTAATAAATATTGTCTTAAAAGTGTGAAACAATCATAACTGATTACTCATGTTATTTCTAAAAAAAGATACTATTAAATACTAGCTAATAATGTAATGTATTTTTAAATTTTTTTTCTAGGATTGTCTGACTTCTAATGGTTTCTCTCCAGAACCTTAATGTTACTAATTTTTCATTATCTGCAGAAGATTTTAATGTTTCTGTGACGAATATTACTCTCAAACATGAAAATGTTGAACCTGCAAATACATTTTTACTTGATTTTGTGATATTGCCTTTAACTATAATAGTGATAACTGTTATTATAGTTGGACTGATTGCATTTGTTATAAGAAAGAAACAGTAAGTTATTCTAGTTTTTAATACTATTTATAATAAATTTTATTTTCAAGCACATTTAAATTTGTTAATATCTTAAATAAATAAAAAATGCACAAAATTATTTTAAATATGCTTCGCTACAAAAGTATAATAATCTAAAATTTCCTGTTTTATATTGTACTACTCTCAATTCTTCCATATTTCAGGACTTCCATATTTCTGGGTCCCTTTTTACTAAAAATGGGTCCCTATATAAAATATGAATTTTCTACATCTTTATCCATAGATTAACATACACATTCATAATTCTTCCATCTATTAATAGACAAAACATTGTATTACATGCACATTCATAACTCTCCCATCTATTGATAGACTGAACAAATACCCTAGCAACAAAATAACTTGAACCCTCATTGTACTAATATTCGCAAATCTGGGATCAATAAGGGTTCAAATGGCTGATATTTTCTGATATGGGCTCTATATAGAATTGTCAGATTCACCCGATATTTTATAATCTTCATTCAGCCAATATAAGTCATATATTGGCCCTATCTAGGCCGGTATTAACATTGCATTTTTACAATTTGGGCGAATTTTTTATTTTATATTCTTCATTGAACCGCCGATCCAATTTTTTGGGTTTATGACAACTAGTGTTTAACTCCGTAGCCTTGAAATTTTGAACCCAATACGAAGACAAGGGATTTTCTGGATCAAGTATTGTCTGATCTAGTAAAATCTGGACATCTCAATATTGGTCCCTCGGAGCATGTTCATATAGGACTCATATTGAGCCAATTTTTAGCCCAACTGGGGCCAATAATTAAGAAAAAAAAATTTTTATTTATAAAGTTTGGTAGCCTATATAAATTTACTGAAAAATTGGTCCAGGAGTATGCACCACTTAATTTTTGCGCCATAATTATGCACCATAACTTAATCATAAGGTACATATTTATCCTTTGCTCTCCTATGATTGTTCTTAACCTCTAATTTCTATTCAGTCTAAATAAGAGGTGAACAGGGCCTGGCCTACCGTGAAACTATCGAGAAGTCGAATTCCTAAAATGTAATTCGTAAATAAATGGAAATAAAACAATTTTTAAGTTTCATTGTAGTGTATTTAAACAGAGTTTGATGACGCAGTTTCTCAATATACTCATTGTCCTTCCCAATGATCTACAATTGTAGAAAATTTCTATAAGTCAAGACCAATTTTTAGGAACCAACCTTTTAAGTAGCATAAAAGTGTTTTTCTTTTCCAAAATACCAGGCATGATATTTTATGCATCATAGCTACGGTAATTTGCAGACTGTTGTTCTCTACAGTAATTTTTTCAAATCTAGTTGAATTCCTCAATTGTTTCTTTATCTGTGGTTTATAGAGGAGATAGTAGAAATCTGCGACAATATACTTTTTTAAACATTGTAGCATATTGAATCATCAGCTGAATTAAAGTTGTGATTTCTCAAGATAAGAAGTTTGCATACATACTATCACAATTTAGTTCCTCTTTTGGATATGAACCTGGCAAGGTAAGGCAGATGTAGTAATTATTTCACACGTTGTGTGTATGTATCATCGATGTCACTGTAGTCTAAGTAATTTTTTCACTTACTCACATTTATAGATAGCTTGAATAAAAGAGACTATTGTTTTAACAAAATAGGACGACACGGAGCAATTGTGTATGCAGTGTATCATATAATTTTGGAATTACAAAATTGAACTGTAAAAGTTTCAATTTTATTCTTAATATTATTCACCTTTTTTAAAAATTTAGTCAATTCTAAATTACCCTTGAATATAATAAAGTTGTCTTGTAGATTGGATAAACTTCGCCATCATCTAATGCCTCTGTACAGCTTTGATCCTGCAGAAGAAGGTGAAGATTGGGAAGCTGAACTGTTGGAAGAAGGCACTGACCACCAACTAAGAGCAAAGGTTAAGTTTCATTTGTAATACATTTTTCAGCTAATTAACTTTTTCATGAGTTTTAAAAATTGGTTTAATACATAATTTTTAAAAGTTTGTGTAGTATAAATCTATTATTTATCCAAAATTCTTTTATGTTTGTGAAAAGGGGATGCATTTCACTTCCATGGATATAAATAAAGATTTAAGATGAGGGAGCTTGCAAAAAATTTTTAGAAGGGTGCAACTAACGGAAATAGTTATTAAAATATTTCTATAATCCAAATAATTTAACAATTTCAATAATTTATTTAATGGCACTACGCAAGCAATTTTTTGCATAATTTTACGGCGACTAATTTTCAACTCTGTAACCTTGTAATTTTGAACCAATCCAGAAGACAACGAAACTGGTGCAAGCGATTTTCCTCTTTTTGAGTTTAAAGTCCCTTCGCAAGCGATTTTTCCCCAACAGGCAGTAAATGGCTGAAGAGGAGTGACGTCATGGTATGAGAGCCTATCAGAGGTTGCCAGAGGGCGCTGTTTTTCTCCCTACTTTTTTCGAATCTTCGACGCAGAGCGCGTTAGCCAGTCTCTTAATTTTTTTTTCTTCAAGGTAGTAGGTGTCCTTTTTTAGGTAGACGTTTTAGGGCTACTAGGCCCTGGATCCAGGGACCGGATGACCGATAAGTATCCTTTTNAGGGTGCAACTAATGGAAATAGTTATTAAAATATTTCTATAATCCAAATAATTTAACAATTTCAATAATTTATTTAATGGCACTACGCAAGCAATTTTTTGCATAATTTTACGGCGACTAATTTTCAACTCTGTAACCTTGTAATTTTGAACCAATCCAGAAGACAAAGAAACTCCTGGATCTGTACCCCCAGAGGTATTGATTTGTTATGGGAACATGAAGGACTTTGCGATTCAACAGATTTAACGTGCATCAGTCACCATTTACTACACAGGGAGTCTTCGGCCAGCGAGGACATGGGCTCAGTGCCCTACCAACCAGGCTAGCCCGGCCCTTACATTAATGTATTACAGTCATCAATTACTCATACTAAATTTTAATTTATTATAATTATGAGTAAAATTGTAATCGTGATTACAATAATCAATTACAGCAATGAATTACTTTAATCATAATAACAATTTCGCAAAATTTTGATTGCATGATACGTTATTACGATTTCTCAATATATAGGATTACAAGTAAATATTAATGTATACTGTATAGATCATTATATTATAAAACACAGATTGTATAATATATTACATGAACCCACAAACTCTTGGACATGGGCCCAATGCCCTACCTACCAGGCTATCCCGGCCCTTGCATAAAATTTATTTTCAACAAAGAGAAAATTGATAAAAATCATTGGAAATATTGAGACCAATGCTTGCGTTAGACACTCTTAAACTGAATGCCATCTTACAGGCATAACTTAAAATAGAAATTAGAATCTACCTGTGCTTCAATTTATATCGAAATACAAAGTTAAATCTATTTGTATTTTGAATCTTGTATTCATTATTATTGTATTCTTATATTTTCATTGAACCAATCGTAATATTACTAACTTAGTTTTGTTTTGCGATAAAATTTCACTCTGTTTTATTAATTACTAATTAATAAATTTAATGTTTTTTGCTATTTCACTGTATTTTAAACATATTCTTCTGCCTCATACTCTGCCCCACCTAACTAGGGTTTACAGCATCTGAGGACAAACTCAGTTTTTGCGCCTGCGATGCTTGCCACTATCACCAGTTTTACCGCCAACTCGGCATGTTAAAGTTTTTTGGTAAAAGCAACTCTGTGATAAATATTTTCCATCAGGAGAAGAACTGGCTACTTACCTTTTCTACCTCTTTGCTAGCTTGCTTGGTCGAAGGACAAATTTGTTGATGGTATACTGATATTATGTTTGTTAAAGCTTTACTGACGTTATGAATGAAATGTTCTAAGAGAAATTAGCATTTCATATTCTCTTCACACCCCTTGACATTCATAATTTTAGGCTAATGGGAGTTTTTCGGGACCATTTTGAGTTTCAGAGTATGTAAAACTGTTAATTTAATTGTACATTGAATCGCATTTCACAAGATTTTTTTTAATCAATATATCAACGTAAAAACGTTCATTTGATTCTGTTCATTGAACAGTATGTGAACAGTCTGTTCAATTGAACAGTATGTATTTCTAAAGTAGTTTTCAATACTCTTGGATGTTTTTTTTATCTTGTTTATTGTTTTTGATTGAATAATTAGGGTTCATTCTAAAGATATTTTTCATTCAATGTGTTGCCAATTTGCTAAAAATAATAAACCTATATGTAATGCAAATTACAATAATAATAGACTTCCTGTTAAATTTTTCGGAAAATCAGGTAAATATTTTAATAGGTTATTGGGTCCGTAATTAACATGTGAAACCGTGGGGAGAAAGCCTCTTCAGAATTAAAGCAAGTTTAATGTATCCTTTTAAAGAAAAAAATAAGTTTTATTTGTCTCTAAAAACTTAGTAAAAAAGTTTTTCTTGAAATTGCTTCTGTAAAACACTGTTATATATTAATTTTCATCGGTACATAAATTTTTATAAACAAAAAAAAAATCGAGACATCACAAACCATTATTTGAATTGTTAAAAGTATTTTTATTTTCTTTTTAATGTATTTAATCTGTTTTGTACAATCGGCTGGTGGCTGGGTCGCGTGCAAGCGATTTTCCTCTTTTTGAGTTTAAAGTCCCTTCGCAAACAATTTTTCCCCAACAGGCAGTAAATGGCTGAAGAGGGTATGAGATGGTATGAGAGCCTATCAGAGGCAGCCAGAGGGCGCTGTTTTTCTCCCTCCTTTTTTCGAATCTTCGACGCAGAGCGCGTTTGCCAGTCTCTTAATTTTTTTTTCTTCAAGGTAGTAGGTGTCCTTTTCTAGGTAGACGTTTTAGGGCTACTAGACCCTGGATCCAGGGACCGGATGACCGATAAGTACCTTTTAAATTGGCATATTAAATGAATAACTAATTTTATTTTATTGATTAGAAATCCGTCTTAAATTAACAATGTCGAAGATTGTTATAATATTAAATTAACTTAAAATAGATGCTTAAAAATCTAATTACTCCGCTAATCTTAAACCACGTGCTAGATGATTTTTTTTTAAAACCCAGCCAAATTTGCATAAGTTGTTAAATGTGAATTATTTTCAATAATATATATTAAATTGTTATATCATTAGAAATTTTGTTTTGAAGATGTTGCACCGAATTTTTTTAATATAATTTGTTCAAATTGTTGTTTAACGAAGACACTATATTTGTATAAGTGCAAATACATTGTAATCAAGATTTAAGTTTAAATACATCTTTATTTTTAAAAGTTAATTTAGTCTTTAATTTTGACTATGTCTCATGCTGTTTCTTTGGATACAGATAATGTAGTACATGTGCAGTCCGGTGTCATAATTCTCAAAGATCGTTAAAATCCTTCTAAATGAAAAATTATTTCGATTAATCATGTCAATTAACATTGCTTATTTTTAATTCTAGTCCAAATTGCCGTTTAACTAATCAGATTAACATTGATAATTGATCTTGAGGCACGTGGATGGCCTGCACAAGTACGTTAGGGAATAGTAATAACTGATGTTAAATGTTAGTTATTAAGGTATGAAGCTGCTAATTATTTTAACGTTGGAATCACAATGCAATTATTTTGATAATTTTAATTATATTCCTAATTTTTGATTTAAATTAACACAACGCAAAAAACCATCGTTATTAAGAAATTATTCTAAGTGCTATACGATCAAATGTAAATTATTATTTTATGAAAGGATTAGTGTTGATGGATAAATTCCAAAGAGCATTATATGTTAAAAATGATCCATGAAATTAAAAATAAATTATAACAATGTTTACGAACCAATATATAAATTAAATATAACCCTGGTTAGTTTAATTTTCTTTAAATATAACAATATAAATTTCTTAAATTATAACACTGGGTTAAATTTTGTCAATGGATAATACTGAATACCAATTTTTAAATTATACCTGGTTTACATTTTAATTATTACAATGATAAATTGTTTTAAATTATAACAACACATGTTTCATATTTTAAGCAAATTATCTGATCTTTAATTCAAGGCTTGTAAAATATTATGTATTTGTATTTTAACGTATAAATGCCAGCTATTCACAAGTGGCTACGTAAATTTTCCTTACAAATATATATCTAAAAAAATAATTAATCTATATAAAGTAAGAGACAAAAATAAAAAGAAACTATTTTTTTATTTATATAAATATCTAGATGATATTATATAACATTAGTTTGTAACATTTGTACAAGCATTTTGTAAATAATTTTATATTTTAATCTTGGTGCAAATTTATCTGTATTTCTGAAATCAAATTAAAATTTTATTCATTAAATTTTTTTTCATTTATTTTATTTTTCAGAATTCCAGACCTTCTGAACCACCCCAATTAGCATTTCGCAGCAATTTGTAAAAAGCCTCTTCTAAGTGTAAAAAATGTTTGTTTTTTCACCCCGAGATGTCTTTTTTGGTCAACTGCAAGCTAATGAGATGTGCTTGTGCCAACATTTAATTTATTTGTAAACAATGTCTACTTTTTATATGTTTCATGCAGTCTTATATTTAAAAATATTTATTAATTAGTATATTATATACTTCAGAAATAATGTGTATTTCTGAAGCTTATTATCAGATTATAATTTATCTTTTGTTACAAAAACACCATTTTCCCATTTTCACTTACTTAAATCATTGCACATATTAAATATTTTTGTTATTTAATCATTATGTATAGCTTTTATTCTATGATCTCATGTGTATGTTAATCTCTGTATTAAAATTTATTAGATTTTATGTTCTCACTCAATGATCAAAATAAAATATCAAAAATATATTCTACTCACACAGTGCGTTATTAATAATAGAACTTAAACTGTAAATTCTTTTACTCATCTGAAATATTTTTATTTAACTAATTTCTATAATATATTTTACTCATCTCTGTGATATATTCTGTAATATATTTTTACTCGGTGATTAAAAATAGAATTAAATCTATAAATGCTTTAATTCATCATAAATATTTTAATTTAAATTCTTAATGTTCTGTAATGTTTTTAGTGTGTTTAGATCTTAAAAATTAAACTAAAAATTTAAGACAGACAGATTAAGATTTTAAAACTTTTTCAAGATAATTGTGAAGCATAAATTCTTATTTGTGTGACATTGTAATAAAAACCTTCTTACATTTGTATTATTACTTGTTTTCCATACTCTTTTAAAAAGAAACTGCAGTTTGAAAAATTGGTTTTAGATTGTTATAAATTATTTTTATTTGTTAAATTAAATTGTCAGGATTTTTGATTTCACAATAAATGTTCAATATTAAAGCTTAGCAATTATTATCCACATCTGTGAAAGAATTGTAAAATTTGAAATGTTGTTTAATTATATTTTTTTCACAGCACTTTTTTTTCAGTTAATGTTATTTTTATTATTTCTAAAGACCAAGTAAAACCAAGTAAATATAAATTGGTCCATTCCCAATGGAAATTGTATTTTCTCTCAAAAATGTTTGTTTCGTATAATTTATTAATTTTAAAGATTAAAACATAACTTTTTAGTCAGTGCCTTTTCCAACTTAAAAACTTTTTTGTGTTTCAAAAAATTATTTTAAAAATTCAATGTATTACTTAATTATTTATTGTGTGAATATTACATTTCTCTCTAATATTTGCTATTAATTAACAAGTTTATATTTATCTACAATTGTACATATTTATATTTGCCCCTAAAAGCCATGTGCTAGTTATTGCTAAAATATGAATCAAATAGCATGTATAAAAAATATTTTGCATTTAAGTGTGCTTATCCATACATATTAAAAAATGTGTGCAAGTCAAAAGTATTAACAACCAACCTTTATAATCACCCTTTTACTTATTCATTATTTATTTACTTTTACATTTAGATAATATTATAATGTTTTTTTGCAAGAAACTATTACTTTTTATCATTGTTTAAAATTTACTTAATACTAATGTCACACAAAATTTTATAATAATGCAATAGTTTTATTAAGTGAAATAAACTGAAAAAAAAAATTGTTCAAATGTCTCATGAACTTATTAAACTAAAAAATAAATCCATGGATATCGGTATTATACAATTAAAATATGGAAATAATTATTAAGTAACCGTATTGAGTTTAACATACATTTTTTTGTGATATTTGCTAGTTTCACTATATGTTTGTAAATACTTACTTGTAAAAATTTTTCTTCTATTTTTACAGTACATACATATATTACTATTTCTGAGTTCTATTGTTTGCATGTCTTATATACTACAACTAAATATAGATATTTTTTAAACTGTGATTTATTATATTTTTTTAGTTCATTATTCATTGAGTTTAATTTGCATTACATTACATTTATTTAATTTATGGTGCTATTTAAAATTTAGTATTTTACGAACAAAATATGTCATGTTTTAAATGTGTATTTATTTTCAACTCATTAAAACATCTTATTCATTAAAGAATGATTTTGACCTCAATTTTCTTATGTGCTAACTTGATTTTTGAATTAAATTTTCATTTTTAGTTTTATTATTTTATATTTACTATTAATTATTTTGCCCAATGTGACATAATCTTAAGTTATTAATATTTAAGAATTGTTTTTAAGCTCTATATATATTAACAAAATGCAAAATAATTTTCAAAGACTTAACATGATCATGATAAAGTAACTAGTTTCTAACAAAGAACTCTTCTTAATCATATTCGCCATTATAAAATGATCTAGAGAATTTTTGATTCGATATTAGAGGGTGAAAAATGAAGTCTGAAATTGGGAATATCTTGCAAATGGGAAGGCAATAATCTCACCGAACCTAGCACAGTATATATGCACATACGGACTCACAAGTATTTCCTCTAACATGTAAAATGATTGGAGCTTCCATACACCAAAATGGATTGTAGTTTAATGAATTATGGAAATGTTAAAAAGCACGTTTTTGCACAATACGTGACGAAAATCGACGTGGTAAAGGAAAAAAAATCTCACTTTTTAAAACACCCAATGAATAAAGCACCTTTCAAGGCTTTTAAAAATCGAAAATAAGCACTTTTTAAAAACGCCATATTGGGTTTGGTTAGCAGCAGTTTACACATGGCTCTTCCATTATGCTATATTTATGCTGTTGAGAATATTATTCTGGCGATTAGAAATTTAGTACCTTTCTTTCTTACCCAATGTTATCAAAATTGCCAAATATGTAAAATAAAAAACTTGTGATATGCATCTATATTTGCAGAAATACAAAGTGCAGTTTCTATTCTTAGTATTTAACTCCTATACATTTGCACAAAATAATTATGCCTTCAAAACTACTTATAATAACCTTTTTTTAAAGATCTTGTCTTTTACTATAGAAAAACTAAGGTTTCTTAAAACAAAAAATCAAATCTAAAATCTGAGTTACAAAATGTGAAAACTTATGGGTGTTTGATTTAACACTTATATGAATTAAATAGTATATAGTGAATAAACTATTAAATAGTGAATAAACCATTAAGACTGAATCCTAATATTTGAAAATCCAATCAGTTTTTATTTAGTGTTCCTCTTGTTTTGTACTACACCGGAAAAGATAAAAGTTTGTTAGGACATGCAAAAGATTCATGGGGAAACTAAAATGTTTGTTAAAATTTTTTTCCAATATTCACTTAACCTTTTTATTTGTCACACACATTTTGGTGACTCTGTTAATCACAACCTAAGCATTTATAAATATATCACTTAAACAAATTTGCTTTCATTTAAATGATAGCTTTTTTGTTTCTCATTCTGTAAATATTTTCTGGAATAAAATTACTCAGGATTTTCTTTATAATATAATTTTCATAATTATGTAAAGCATTTTAGACTCATCCGCTGCAAAAAAATTTAGATTTACTATAGCAACAGATTTTCCAGATAGGGTCTATTTTAAATAAACAGCTGCAAGCATAAACCTTGAAATATTTCAATTCAATTCTTGAAAATTTTGTTATAATAAATTTGGCCACAATATTTTCCCTCATGATTAATAAGACCTAATAGTGTTATTAAACCAGATCTGACAAAATCTTGTCGATATACTATGAAGTATTTCTGATTTCTTAGCTGAAAATATATTTTTTTACTTCAGGCATTGAGCTTTTGTTTTTCATCTCATAAGAAGCTGGAAGTGTTGCTCATTAATCGCTAGAAACACCTGTGCCAAACCAGAACCATTGGCTTCACAGTCCGGCACACTGACCGCTTAACCATTAAGTTTAAAACATAGTCTACACTAATTAATGGTATATTTAAGGTTAGCCCTGGAACCATCAAGATAACATTAAAAGGCCTGCACATTTCTGAATATAATAGTGTATAGTCTGCCTATGGAAAAACTTCACCCGCCATTAGTTCGAAACAATAGTGGTGACTATGGCTACGATGTTTAACTATTTCAAGCATGGTAGCTACATCACCAAGTCAGGTTTTGTTTCAGGTCCATACAGTCTGAGAAAGCCCTCATCTTAGAAACTATTTCCATAACAGCAGACTGCCTTAGACCTCGTTAAGGCTTTCTATTAACAAAATAGTTTACTGAAGGGGATGGGGAACCGATAAATGTGCCACTGCATTATTAAGTTATCTAACAAGTATCTATTGTCTTTTAGAAGAAAATATTTTAAGTAAAGTGAGGGTAATTTTTTGTACGTAGTCTCTTAACAATTTATTATTCTGAACTCTTAAATTTTTTAAGATCATTCTGCGCCAAGAAAAAAAAATGAAATACTAAATACTCATCTTGTAACAAAACTTGATAAATTAATAACAATAAATGACTGAATACAAATACTTGTGTTATCAGTCTTAAATACTTGTGTTATCAGTCTTCTTAAAATAAAATCTATAATTAAACAAATAAAATGCTACAACTAAGAAAATGTGTTTCAATATTTGCATAGCTTAAGTTCAGTATGTCTTGTATAAATTTATTAACAGTTCAAAATCAATGAGGCAAAATCAAAATTGACTATAAAAATGGCAACAAGTATTAAAGAAAACATTTTATTGACAAAATTTTCACTTCACACAATGGCTACTTGAAACAGAAAATGCACACAACACTGAGTTAATACTATGTTATCATCATTACATCTGTCAGTGAAACAGGATTGATGAATCATTTAAAAATTTAAATCTAAGAAAAACAATCTTGTTCATTTTATAATTTAAAAAGAATAAATGGAAGAACACAACATCACGAAAAAAGCTTTTTTCAAACTGGAAAAAACAGCTATGCGTTTAACTGATAAAACACAAAATTAAAAAGAAAAAAAAACTGCAAGCATGATTAAACTACAATGAGACAAACACACATCTTTTTGCTAAAAACAGTGAGAGGCTTAAACTCAGTATGGCTTTTTTCTTTTTTTTGTTTAAAAACTATGTTATGAGACATGGTTTATCTAGGAATGAGTTTAAGTGTGTGGATGAGAATGCTCTGTAGCAGACAAATATTCAAGGATGATACAAAAAGTGTTTACAAAATGAGAAATGATAAGACTTGTACTGTTAATGATTAAAAATGGTTTGTGAGAAAACTGTTCTCGCCAGTTGATCACAAAAAAGGACAGTCAACTCAAACTGCAATCATTTTACTGTAAGAACTAGCCCGTGTGCTTCAGATCAAAAGCGTGGGGGGTTTCCCTACAAACCTGTAAAAGAAAAAAAGAATAAGTCTTTCCTATTTAAATATTTTCACCAAAATGTTCAAAACTTTAACCAAGAAAATATTTTCTTACAATACATTATTTTGAGATGCAAACATAATATAAACTTGCATCAATTTCTCTAAAAAAAAAAAAATTAGCACTTTTTTTAGCTCTAACTTCTTATTTTTAACTTATGAGGGATAAGATATTAAACTGTCATTCTGAGACTTGATCAGACCATCAGATCAATGAGTACCAGCTGGTCAAAGTAAATGTGGCCTGCAAGGCTGACCACATTGCTTTAATCACGAAATTGTGGAACCTTAACCTACCAAAGCTTACAATGGACTGTTGTAGTAAAGTTCATTTTTAGAATTAAAACAGTTTTTTTTTACAAATAGCCACCTGGGGAATGACCTTTTGTCAATACAGGCAACTCAAGGGCAGATTTGTTGGCTACTCTTTCAGGGGCACCACATTAGGTGGGCTAACAGTGCCTCCCCAGTAAGGACAGATAGAACGGAGAATGAAAGAACATCTATGCCTTGCCCCGGATTTGAATTTAGAACCAGCTCCTAGACCCCTACAGTCCAGTCAGCGTATTAAAATAGTAAAGTAGTACAAAACAGAAGTCAGGTGCTATATCCTACACAAGCTCCACTTTCTAGTTCACTGGTTAAAAAAAAATTTAAGAAAATATATAATACACTTTACCAACAGTTCCCAATTTTTTCCATTATGGAACCCTAAATGATGGAGCTTCTGAAGCAGAACCAAAAACTAAATAAAATTGGCCATTAGCAGCTTCGAATATGCTAACCAGACTTTATATAAGGAAATAAGTTTAGTCAATGATGAAAAATAATCAAAACTTAGATATATTATTGGTATGAGAAAAACTTTCATAAAAATTTTTAAGATTAAGATAATTATAAATTAAGAAATATTTAAGATAAAAAAATTGACTAACAATTATTTTTAAAAAAATTCCTACTTCTTAACACTAAACTCTAGTAATACTTTCTGGGAAAAAAAATTTCCTAAAACATTTAAAGAGATAATGCCTACCAAAAATGCAGCTCTATTTTAATAACAAGTATATATGCAAAAAAAATCCACCTCAATATTTGAAAGAAAAATCTATATATTAACATTCAAGTTTTCCAATTACAGAAATTAAGAAAAAGATTAAAGCCTAATAGAAACTCTTAATTGCTGCATCATAATAAAAAGTCTAAAATAAGCAAAATAGTGAAAATCATGGATCAAATTTTTTTTGCAAATTTGAATCAAAGTGTTGGAAAAACAAGGAACAGAACTACAAAACTCATAGTTTTAGGTCTAATCTAGCTTCAATGTTACTAATTTTGTTCTTCTATGGGTCTTAATTAGTTTTAGAACTCAATATGCTAATAAGTTTTAGAACTTAACAAAAATGTGTCAAAACTATTTCTAATAATAATATATAATAAAAAATAAGGTTTTATACTATTATTTATCAAACCTATTAAAATGTCCAAATAAAAAATAAAAAACTTTGTCGATAAGTAATTTTCGATATACATTGCCAAATATTCGACTAAAGAGTGAAATATTCACTACACCCCGAATTACAGTTGATAAAAAATTTTATTAGACAAAGTGTTTTAAACAAACATTTAACACAAATTAATGATGCAATTGCTTAAATTTCTTTTAATTTTATACCTAAAATAAATGAAACAAACAAATAGGAAAATTTAGAATGAGTAAACTTTTTTCTAATTTAAGAATAAGGTTACAAATATACACTATTCTTTTTTTTTTTTTTTTTTAAAANAAAATTAAAAATGATATTAAAAAATCAGCTCAAAAACATAGTAAAAATATAGATTTATCGCTTCATAAGTATACAAAAATAAAATTTTAAGAAAAAGTACTTTGTGAAACTACCGTTTTTCCTAAAGTTGAATTTGTGAAACTACCGTTTTTCCTAAAATTGAATTTGTGAATGTACCACTAAACGGTAGTAAATTCAACGTGGACAGACCCCTGTCTTCTATGGGTCTTAATTAGTTTTAGAACTCAATATGCTAATAAGTTTTAGAACTTAACAAAAATGTGTCAAAACTATGTCTAATAATAATATATAATAAAAAATAAGGTTTTATACTATTAATTAAAATGTCATAAAAATTAAATAAAATTCATAGTAACATAAAATAAAATTTTCGAAATACATTGCCAAATATTCGACAAAGAGTGAAATATTCACTACATCCCGAATTACAGTTGATACAAAATTTTATTAGACGAAGTGAAACAAACATTTAACACAAATTAACCTTATAAACATTTAAGCAAATTAATTGCTTAAATTTCTTTTAATTTTATACCTAAAATAAATGAAACAAACAAATAGGAACATAATTTAGATTGAGTAAACTTTTTTCTAATTTAAGAACAAGGTTACAAATATACACTATTCTTTTAAGAAAAAGAATCTACAATTACCATATTTTGGCGATATTTAATCATCCTTATCATCACCAGAGCCATCATGGTCTGAAGAACTTTTAGTGTCTTTAGCATCCTGTATAACAAACAAAAGATTGTAAGGAATTGTTTACATACGCTCATTACTCAATTATAAGACGCTATTTACAAAATACTTACACTCTTCTTAGGCCTGCCTCGACCACGTTTTGATCCACCAGATGAACTGCCGCCTGTTGACTTCTTTGCTTTCTTGGCGGTTCCCTTGGGCCTGCCACGACCTCTCTTTGCTTTGGGTTCATCAGTTCCACTATCCTATGAAATCAATAATTACTGTTAAATTTTTTTTATGTATTCAATTAATAAAAAGAGTTACCTAAAAACTATTTTAAAGAGATAGAAAATAGTAGTAAAATTACACTAATAACAGTATATTATTTCAACTCACAAGAAATATTTTCTCTGTAACGATAAAATTGAAATGCATTGCAGTGTTCCTTAAGTGTTTAAGAGGGTGGCCTACCCAGCTGGCATTTTTGTAGAAATAAGTCGCCACCCCTAAAAGACACTGCCTTTTATACCCCATTTAAAAAAAATTATTCCACTGCCAAAATAATAATTACACACTGGTATAATTATCTGTGTTGTGTTATATTCTGATTACTATTACAAATAATTACTTTGTTAGGATTATTCTCAATTGGTTAAATTCTTATAATTTTTTTTTCTTTCAGAAGGGTATATTATTTTTGAGATTTTAAATTTTAGAATTAGCAAATTTCTTTTTAAATGCACCTTTAAATGCTTATTGTCTTCAGTTAAAATTTCATTCAGTACATTTTTCGGCTTAAATTGGTAATTTAAAGATTGTTGAGAATCAAATGCAGTTATAACACAATATTACACATTTTGATAAATTTTTAAGGTACTGAGTGCCCTTTCAAAACTCAAAGTGCCCTATCTGTGAGGAAGTATCTTACCCTTTTAAATTCCTAGAAAGAACTATGGTACTGCAAAATATACTTCACATACACTAATTTCAAATAAATAAGTTATATATGACAACCCGTACTTATGCGCATTGCACCATTACACGAATTTGTAAGCGGAATTTTAACTCTTCTATATTAATGGCACACCCTGATTTGGAATTCATGAATCACTGTTCCCAGTTGCAAATCATTTGAATACCGAATAATAGGAAAAGAAATTGGAAATCTCGAATATACAAGTTCGAGGTAGAATTGAAAAAATATCGGTTTAATTAAATTAAACCAAATTTGTGATTATGAATAAATAAACAAAAATCTTTTATTGGTTGAAAGCTAAGTTATTTTCAGTTATCTAACACAGAAATTTTGTAAATAAATACCTGCTCCATGCACATTCATCAATGCCTTCAAAAATATTAATGTTTTGAAACGGATGATTGAAAATGTGATCCATTGAATTTAATATAATGCAGTATAAATTAGAATATCAAACACCTAATATCAGTTTTAAAATATTTAGCAGAACACTAACTTCAATATTTAAAAAAATACTTCAGAAAGAGACAGACAAATATTTTAAATGAAGTCTTAACTCTTCTAATACTTCACATCATTTTTACCTTTGATATTTTCTAACTTATTTAAAAGCAACTCAATACCTTGAATAGATTATAAATAAATAATAAACTAACTTTTTAGATCTTTTTAACTAATTTATGTTTTACTAATGTCAAAGGTCATAATAAAAATCTTAACAATTACCTGAAGATGTTTTAAGATATTCTACTACTGAGACAGATTACAGAAATCTAATATCTTAAGATATTATTAAAACAAATGACACTTTCTTCCATTGAACTTACTTTGCTTTCGCTCCTTGGCTCTGCTGCTTTCTTTGGCCTGCGACCACGCTTAGTTTCAGTTCCTTCACTGTCAGACATTTTATTTCACTATTATAAGAAAATTACTATTATAAGTAAAAGAAAAAAAATACAGGAATTACAATTACATACATGATCTATTAAGAATTCACAAATTCTAAAACCATAAATATATCCATTCAATACTGTTTCTAAAAGCTATACTGTTTCTAAAAGCTAAAAGAAATGTCAAAAAATTTGTCACTTTCAAAGAAAAACAGTGTGTTTAACCAGATTTTTCAACAACCTTTTAAACACTCAAAAGATATTTTTAATCACTTGAAAAAAATTCATAACCAGGATTTGTGCAGCAATAAAAATTATTTCTTCCTATTGTTCAAAGTTGATTTATATACATAAAATTAACAAAATGCAAAAACATTTCACCAAGACATTACATTATCGTGATAAAATAACTAGTTTCTGATAAATATTGCAGAAAAAACTGCAAAAATCATGTGTTTTTTTTACATTATAGAAAAAAAAATCTAATTTTGAAAGATTAAGCACATTTTACAGAGCCCCAATTTTAAAAAAAGTACTTTTAAGGGCCATTAAAAAACTTCAAATATAAGCAACTTTAAGCACTTAAAAATGCTCCACAAATCCTGAAAAATTGATCAATTAAAATTTCAGAAAATGTGACAAAAGACTAATAAATTTGTTTTAAAAAAATTAATAAAGCCATTAATTGCTTTGGTTAAACACAATTGAAAGTAAAGTACAAATTTTAAAGAATATATTTTAGCTACAATTAACAGACAGAATAGTTTTTTTTTACAAAAGCAAGCTGTGAGCAGTATTAATTTTAACACTTAGATGCAAATAACTGCCCAACAACTGGGGTGTAAAATTATTCAGTTACGGAATTTAGCAAGCAGGTATTTAAGAGATTTAGATAAAATGAAAAACTTTCAGAAAATACAATATCTCAATCAAAAAACATTCTACACACACTGATTAACTTTTGTAAAAATTTGCAAGTTTAAAATCTATTTAGCCATCTTGATTAAGATTCAGTTAAGATACTGACAGATTAAGGTACTGAAATATCCCTAAGTTAGTGATTTATCTTACATAAAAAAATTATAACTATCTAGTAAATTTTTTAACATAAAAAATAAAAACTGATAAGTACACCAACCATGGTACCCACCATAAAATAAATGAAATTGGCAATGTTTGGTTAAGCAGGTACTTTTCTCTAATATGAATTATTTTTTAACACAAAATGGCTATCACTCTTAAAAAAAAGTACACTAGAAAAATAGTTTAATTCACTTGTGCCTAGACTTTAAGAAAAAATAGCATTATAAACTGAATTTATGGGAGCATAAATTAAAAATTGTGACATTTGTAATTTTTTTTTTTTTTTTCTGTAGTTCAACTAAAAAAATAAATTAATTATAAAATATATACATCCTTATGTGCAATATTAGAACCAGTGAACACATTTCTTAGAACAATTAACAGAAATTAGACAGGAAAGTAGACTAATTTTACTATTTAAAAAACTTGTTATTTTGAATAAATGAATTATATTTAAAACAAGTAAATAATTTATTTAAATATAACCAAAAATAATTAAAAATTTCATACAACAGATCAAACACAAATTTTAAGACCTAAGTAATATGGAATAAATATAGCTAATAATTAATCAAAAAATACATAAAGAAAGTGCTAAAAATACGAAATATAAAGAAAATTATTTCATCCCAGTAGAAACAAAAAATTTCCATAATTCAGTTTTTTTAAAGAAATAGAAATTAAAAAATAATTACCCTTAAAATTAAATTTCAAATCGCTAACAAAAAAAATAAACGATATAATGTTCTTATAAAGAGACTATTAGATCCAAAAATTTACGTTATCAGATTACAGAAATTTTAATTAGCTTCACAAGTCCATTTAAAGGTGGCTTGAAAACACCATTTTTTAAAAATATTAATTAATTCCTTTTAGTCTTAAATAAAATTTTTAAAAATAGCAAAACATATGGGGATTTATTATTCAATTTATTAATACGATGTAAGAGAAGTAAAAATAGACTGTTTCAACAGCAATGGAGGATAGTATTCAATTTTAGCCATTTTTGACCGACTTGCAATAGGGATTCGAATAAAATCGGAAAAAAATTTTTAATAATTATTAAACAACATAAAAAAATTAGGGCATACCAACGGGAATCCACTAAACATATAAAAAATTAATAAAAGATTAAATAATTAATAATAAAGCTTCAATATTTTATGATCGCAGGCACATCTTCAATGGCTGTGTAGTAAGAGACGCTAACTCGAATACTGGCATAAGAAGGTAATTTTCAAAAAATCGTAGTAAATTAAATATATATTTTGGAGTGTTACAAAAAAATTGTAAAAATAAATCATACTCTTTACAATTTATTTTCAATAATTAGTTCTCTTACCAGTTAAATGTCCTTCACAAAGAAAATGGCTAGAAGATGCTCTGTATATGCCGATGAAGCTAAAAAAGATGCCGGCCTAAATCTCTCCCGCGCTTTGACTGTGAGCGGCAGATGGCAGAAGTAGTAGGGAGCGAAATCGGAGTCGAAAAACAGAAAAAAGATTGAAAGGATGGCGCTGGAAGTTGAAATTTGAATTTTATGCCGGAGTTGCCAGATTTTCGTCTGAAAAAGAAGATAAAAAAAACTTTAAATTCGTTTTATTTATTTTCGTTTTTTTTTTTAGAAAAAAAAGACTGAAATAAATTTTTACGAGTAAAAAGATAAAAACATGTGTCACAATTATTGTTTGTTATTTAAATATTGTTTGTTATTTATATTGTGAAACATTTAAATCACATTTTGCTTTGATAATACGATAACGGAAAAAAAAGTTTTTTCTTCTAAAAATGAGGAGTTGCCTGATTTTCGTCTGAAAAAGAAGATAAAAAAAACTCTAAATTCGTTTTATTTTATTTTTTTTTAGGAAAAAAAATGACTTAAATAAATTTTTACTGAGTTAAATTAGTGACCTTATACGAGAAAAAAAAATAAAAACATCTGTCACAATTATTGCTTGTTATTTATATTGTAAAACATTTTAATCACATTTTGCTTTAATAATCCTATAACGGAAAAATATTTTTTTTTAAAAAATGAGGAGTTGCCTGATTTATGTCCGAAAAAGAACATAAAAAAAACTCTAAATTCGTTTATTTATTTATTAATTTTTTTTTACTTTATATCACTCAAATAAATTTTTAATGAGTTAAATTAGTGACCTTATACGAGAAAAAAGATAAAAACATCTGTCACAATTATTGTTTGTTATTCAAACATTGCTTGTTATTTTTTTTTTTTTATTATTATTATTATTATTATTTTTTTTGTGAAACATTTAAATCACATACTGCTTTAATAATTCTATAACGGAAAAATAGATTTTTTTTAAATGAATGATCTTCCCTATGATTAGTAAACAGCGTAATTACTAAGTCAATAAATGTACTTTGGTGAATTTAATTAAGACTAACAAATAATTAGTAACAGTCAACCAACTTACAAGAGGCAAGCTGGCAGGGACCACGGAACCAGGTGCTGAGGGGGGGGGGCATTAGCATTAGCCCCTCATATTTATTAAATAATTAGAGAAAACCTATAAAAGAATGTTTTTTTTTTATCCCCTTCACTCATAAGGTGTTACATTGAGCACTGCAATACTTTAATGCAATCAGTGTCCACTGTAATATCTCATGGGTTATGCGATGTTACAGTGATCACTACAATACTTTAATACAATCAGTCACTGAAATATCGCATGAGTGAAGGGTCCGATCACTGAAATATCGCATGAGTGAAGGGTCTGATCACTGAAATATCGCATGAGTGAAGGATCTGATCACTAAAATATCACATGAGTGAAGATGCTGACGAATACTAAAGCAACAGAGCTCAGCCTTAAAATAAAAAATCATATGAAAGGGATAATATTAAGAAAGATTAATATTACCCGAAAAGAGGAAGACAATGGTTAATAACAATCACGTTTTCTTTTATCAAAGTATATACACTGCATTAAGCATTGCGTGGTAATGGTATATTAGTGTTCTGTTGATTAAGAACATACATACCAGCAATGTTTATTTTGTAGGTCATGGCAAAAAATTACCCGAAAAGAGAAAGACAGCGATTAATAAAAATCGTGTTTTCTTTTATCAAAGCATATACTTGCATTAAGCATTGGCTGGTAATGGTATATTAGTGTTCTGTTGATTAAGAACATACATACCAGCAGTGTTTATTTTGTAGGTTATGGCAAAAGATTACCCGAAAAGAGTAAGACAGCGGTTAATAAAAGTCGTGCTTTCTTTTATCAAAGCATATACATTGCATTAAGCATTGCCTGGTATTTTAGCGTTCTGTTGATTAAGAACATACATACCAGCAGTGTTTATTTTGTAGGTTATGGCAAAAGATTACCCGAAAAGAGTAAGACAGCGGTTAATAAAAGTCGTGCTTTCTTTTATCAAAGCATATACATTGCATTAAGCATTGCCTGGTATATTAGTGTTCTGTTGATTAAGAACATACATACCAGCAGTGTTTATTTTGTAGGTTATGGCAAAAGATTATCCGAAAAGAGAAAGACAGCGGTTAATAAAAATCGTGTTTTCTTTTATCAAAGTATTGTATTAAGCATTGATTGGTGGTAACTCAAGGAATTGAGCGTTCACCTCCCAATGAGGTTATCCGAGTTTGAATCCCAGCGGCGGCTAATTGATACGAACTCTACCTACAGCTCGCACAGACGACAGTGCTGACGTAAAATATTATTGGTGGTAGACGGGTTATGGGTGAGATATGGTTATGGGTTAGATGTCAGGCTGGGCTAACCATGAGAGGTTTTCGTTTTTTTCCTCTGCATGTAACGCAAATGCGGGTGAATTCCATCAAGAAGTCCTCCACGAAGGCTAGTTTGTCCCAATTCTTGACCCAGGAGTTCCCTTCATTTTTAAATTGAGTTCAAAATTACGAGGCCACGATTTGAACATTGATAATCGTTCACTCAGAATAAGGTCGGTTGTTCAACACCGGTAGTAAAATAAAATATTAAACACAAGATTATTTTTTTATTTTTTTTTTCATTTCAAAAAAAAATTTTTAAAAAAATTTCACGTTTAGCAATCAAAACCATCGCAAAATTTATAAATAATACTTAATATTATTAAACTATTAATACTTCAACTAAAATTTTTAATAACACTAATAATAAAGAGGCTAAATATTTTGATTTAATTATTGCAAATTAATTTCTTAATAAATAAAATCTGTTAATTTTTTATCAAACTCAAAAAACTAATGAATTAAAAAGACTGAGAACAAATTTGTCGAATCAAAAGTAAACCAATTTAGATCATAAAATCTTTTTAAAAATAAATTATTCTTCGTAGAATAAATCTTAGCTCTTTATTTACAAGTAGATACACTAACTACATGTTTAATAAGTTTTAAAATTACTTGTATTTAAATAAATGGGAATAAAATTAAATGGATATAATTGAAATATATTTATTGATAATAAAATAGTAAATTATTTTACATACTATAATGAGCACATTAAAATATGAAAATTATAAGAAATGAATTGTGAAAAATTATAAGAGTTACTTTCTTATCTACATTAAAGTTCTTGAAAGAAAAGAAAAAAGAAGATAATATATCGTTTCCCATGTTATTAACTTATTTCCCAATTCTATTAATAAAATATTTATCATCAGTTAGATTTAATATCAATAGCTTATTATCACAGCCTTAAGTACACTAGATAATGCAGTATGGTATAAATAATAATTTCTACATAAATCTATGATTTAAAAAAAATCATGAGATTTAAATCAATGATTTTCTTAATAAATATTTTTTTTAAATCATGCCCAATCCTGCTCTTTATTTTTCTTGACATTTTCTGTAGCAGTTTTTAGGGATTGACCTTCACACACACACACTCAAAAATCGGCGATATCAAAAATCACACATTTTTTATATAATTCATTTCTATGATATAAAAGTTTAATCCATGTTGTTGTTTTAAAAACTACACTCTTAATATAAAAGAACATTGAAATAAAATGAGACACATTTGGACATATAAATTACAATAACTTGTATGAAAAATGCTTACAAGAAGGAGGAAAAATATATCCAAGATTTATTTTTATTATAAACCCGTCGTTGAACAGCTGACCCAATTTTGGGTTTACGACTACTAATGTTACCGTTCTAATGTAATTTTGAACCTTATCCAGAAAACAAGGAAACTCCTGGATTAAGTATTGGGACTAATTTTGTCTTCGTGGAGGGCTTTTTGATGGAAATAACTAGCATTTGCGATACATGAAAAGGAAAACCACGAAAAATTACCACGGTTGGCCCGGCAGTAAGGGGACTCTAACCCATAATCCGTCTACTACTGAGGATATTTTTACGTAAGCCCTGTGGTCGGTGCAAACTGGGTGCGGGACTCGTATCGACCGGCCATCGCTAGGATTCGAAGCCGGCTCACCTCATTGGAAGGCGAATGCTCTATCTCATGAGCCACCACGGCTCATGTCCAAGATTTTATATTTTATTTTATATCCGTCGTTGAACAAAGTCGACCCAATTTTAGGTTTACGACTACTAATGTTCAACTTCGTAGCCTTATACTTTTGAACCAATCCAGAAAGCAAGGAAACTCCTGGATCAGAACCCCCAGAGGTAGTGATTTGTGATGGGAACATGGAGAATTTTGAGGCTCCACAGATTTAACGTGCATCAGTCACCATTTACCACGGGGAGTCTTCGGCCTGCGGGGATAGAATCCACGAACTCTTGGACATGGGTCCAGTGTCCTACCAACCAGGCTATCCCGGCATCTATTTTGTTAATGTAAAGAAAAACTTGTAACATAGCCATTAACCAGTCCTGAATTTTTGGCGTCCCTAATTTTCAGCGGCCCAGGGTGGTAGCCAAGTTCTCCTAACCTAAGCTTGGTCTTGCAAAAAGATAAAGATAAAAAGAAAAGATAAAAAATAGTAATAATAGTTAAATATATCCAAGCCGTGGGGGCTCAGGGAAAAGAGCGCTGACCTCCTAATCAGGTGATCTGGGTTCGAATCCCAGTGATAGCTGGTCGATTCGAATTCTGCATCCGACTCTCACCAACCACAGTGCTGACGTAAAATATCAGCAATGGTAGACGGATAATGGGTTGGAACCCCCTTGCGGTCAGGCAAGGCTAACCATGAAAGGTTTTCGTACTTTTCCTCTCCACGTAACGCAAATGCGGGTTAGTTCAATCAAAGTGGCCTTCACTGTGGCAAATTTCTCCCAATACTTGATCCAGGAATTCCCTTGTCTTTTGGATTGAGTTCAAAATTACAAGGCTGCGGAGTTGAACAGTAGCAGACGTAATAAGGCCGGCTGTTCAACGCCGATTATTAAATAAAATAAATTAAATAGTTAACTTATATAGTTGGAATGACAAAAAGGAGTTATTTAGGAATTGCAAGTTTTAAAAGTAATTAAAAGCAAAATAAAAGACAAAGGTAAACATGTCCCAGAATATGGGTGAAAAAAATTTATAATCAAACGTTTATAGCAATTATTATAGGAAAATTAGATTTTGAACTTATTCAAAA